GCATCAGTTCTGAAGTGCCACTGGCAGGTAGCCTGTAATTTGGTGGGAAGAAGGCCAGGTGCCAGATTTCTTGGCTGTCAAGTAGCGCCATCCTTTTATGAACTTCTTTCTACCTCTCCTAAACATAGATCCCTTCTCAGACCAGCATCTTGGCACACCCTCCTTCCCTGCAAGGGTCCTGCTGCTGGTTTGAAGTGGGCTTGCATTCTTGGACCAGGTCTCACTACCTTGCACTTTGGTGGATGCTCAACCTTCCAGGGAGGTCCTGGATCACTCTGGCCCTGCAGACACAGAGCATGAGATCAATAGGGGACCCTCATTTAGGGGCACTCAGCCACAGATCCACCATCTTCCTAAGAGAAGGCATACATACAGGACTGACACCTGGATCCAGGGACCTAGGAACCTACCAGAGCATTCTAGGAACTGGAGCTCCCACTCCAACAAACTTGGAAGGTCCCCCATTCCCCTGGCCCATCACAACTCTGCTCTCCAGCATGTGAAACCATGTGCTCTCCACTAACTCTGAGAATCTGCTGAGCGGGTGCTCACCACAGTACAGGAACAGCACTATTTTCAACCCCTCCTGAGCTGGCAACCCTCTTCCCACAAACGGGAGTTTAGCCTCACAGCACTGGGGCCACAAGTTGCTAGAGCAAGCCCCCAACCACGTAGTCCAGATGGGGCTAGCAGGGTACAGACAGTGGCCAGAAGTAATGGAAGGAGAGGAAGACAGAAATTCAGAAATTCGTACTCTCTGAACTTTGTCATGCTGAGTTGCAGGGCTACAGAGGTGCCTGGGGGTGAGCAGATGGGCAGGGGTGGGGGACACCCCAGTGCTGGCTGCCTGAGTTCCACCCCTGTGGGTCACATGATCTGGAGTGTCTAGTCTCCAACCAGAGCCAAGGGAGCCAAACTTTTTAGAGCAGGTTTAGATCCAGATGGAGAAAGGGATTGGGAGACCAGCTGTGGCCAACAATGCCTTCTTCCAGAGCTGCAACCCTGTAGGGAGCCGGGAAGGGGCTAGCCTCCGCCTCCCTGCTTTCCCTGAGGCTGGACGAAAATTGTTGAACGAAATTGGAGAACTGTGTGGGTGTCATGCTAGGTCCAACTGAGGCCTCCATGGGCCCTCCCACGGTGCACATGAGCAGGCCCTGGGCAGGTGGGTGGTATGCAAGCTCTCACCCAAGGGCCGCCTGCCATAGTTCAGCCTGAGTCTCTGGACAAATTCCTCCAGCAGTGCAACTTAATTCTATCCTTGTAATCGCTGGAAGGCTTTACTTTCCCTGATCGGAGGAGAATGGCCAGTTTGCAAAACCCCTATGAAAGGAAGGGACAAATGGCCCGGGAGCCATTGAAAATAACACATACTCTGCAATCAATAGGCAACAACTTCTCCCCAGAAAGCTTTCTCTTAACTTTCTGGATTGCTCAAGGAAGGAAGATAGGCAGTATGAGGTAGATGAAGGAGGAGGCTGAAAACGGACCCAACCACCCACCTACACATTGTAACCAATAATTGCAGAGCCTCTGGGCTGCCTTAGGGTACCCGTAAGTGAAGGTGAAGGTGTTCGGGTTTTTGCGAGGGCACAACCAACTCAAACGAGGCTGTAGATACACTGCCAGATGTGGAAGACGCTAAATGCATAGGCAGAAAAGGCAGGGACCACTGAGAAGGGAAGAAAACAAAACGAATCCTGAATCCCTGGGTTGCCCTCTGAGTGGCCCTTCTCCCTGACCCCCGTGCACCTACTCTAAGCATTGTTTTAAACAAACTGGCCCAGTTCGAAGGCATATGAAGCTACCAGAAACCCCCTCCTCAAGCAAGAGCAGTACTCTTTCAGGGAAGCAGTTATTTGGATAAATCCATGAGTTCTGGGCTGGCAGTCTATTCATCTGGGTCCATCCCAACTTAGGGTCCCTCAGAAGCCTGACAAATAACATATTCTCCTGGGCCTCAGTTTCCACTACTGTAAAAGTGTGTGTGAAGAGTCTGAATGATTCCTTAAGGTCGTGCCCCATCCTACAGAACAAAGGCTGGGGTTTTTATACTCCCTTTTTCCAAAGTGGATCTCAGTAGTAGCTAATGTGCAGCAGAGCCCAGCAGAGGCAGAGAGACTACATTACCCCCTAACCCCTTTATCTCCCAAAGAACAGGGTCCCATGATTCTGGCTGGTGGCATCTTATTTGAAGCATTAGAATCAGGGGATGTGGGCAGCAAATGCCTCAACCAGTTCTACCCTGAAACTTGACAGCCTAGGGAATGAGGAGAGTCCTGGCAAGACAAGAAGCTATTCTGATTTCCAATTTTTGAAATGAAGACATTCAGAAGGTGAAATGGAGTAGGATAAGGTCATGCTGTGGGGTTTCTTTTTTATCCATTTATTTAGACATCAGCAGAGCTGAGCTGTGTTGGAGTTAGTGTGTGGCTGATGGTGTGGAGTATCTGTGGGTAGGATCCTGGAAGAGGGATGGGGGGAGTGTACACGGGGGAGGGAGAGAGAGAGATATCAATCTCCGTGTAGTAGAGAGCAAGTCTGAAGTATGTGCAGGGTTGCCAGATAAAATAAATCTGCTAAATCCAGCAACCCTAGCTATGTGAATTTATCTAGGCTTATGTTAAGAAATGTCTCTTCAAAACTCCTTTTGTTTGCTTGTTTGTTTGTACGGCTGGACCACCCAGGAAATTCAAATTCTGGGGCCACTAGTCCTTGTCCAACTTACTTCCCTGACTTGAGGATTGGACCTCTTCTTTCTCCAAGAATGTTCAGTTTATGTAGACCCAGCACAACAAGTGCATCTCTTTGGTCAGAGGTCCCAGATGACTTATTCTCACCGGATATAAGCAGCTCTGTCTCCCACTGTCTTCTGCTCTTAGCTTAGGAAGCTCAAAAGTTCTACTGTGAGGGTTCCATGATAGGGATTGCAAACCAGTCCTGCTCTATCTTATTGCAGAAGCCTGGGCAAATCCTCTCACCCTTCTCTGGGCCTCTGTAGCCCCATCTGTGGAATGAGGGAGTTGGGTTTACACTAAACCCTTCCAGTCATTGGATGCTGCTGTTCAATAGGAGATAATTCGTCCACCCTCACATCCACCCTCCTAAGAACCAGCCCACTAGACTGCAAAATCCCTCACACCCTGCTCCTACCTTAGCTACAGAGGACTGAATTCAGCACAGTGACTGGAGATGGTACCAATAAGCAGTCTGGGGATGGGCCAGGGCTAGGGATCCAGGTGAGAGACTACATTACCCCTAACCCCTTTATCTCCCAAAGAACAGAGTCCCATGATTCTGTAACATGCTTTCATTACCCTCCCCATAAATAGTCCGGAATATGGTTACTTTTACATACCAGTCATGAAGTAGGTATTTTTAATTTAATTTTCACAGAGGAGGAGACAATTAAATAGTTTAAGAAACTTTTGTAAGTGAAGCCGCTAAGTAGTGAAGCCACAACTGGAGCCCCCAACAGCCTCATTCTAAGGTCTGCTATGCAGACCAGGAAATTTAGGCTCAGAAGAGGAAATTACCCAAAAAGGGACACACCGGCTTTTAATAGCGGCTAGCAGCTGGGACTCAGGCCGCCAATGCTCAACCTTTGGCCACTGTGCGGCGCTGTGAGGGCAGCGGTCAGCTCTTGCCCACGTCCGGCGCCCATTCCCCTTCTACCGCCCAGAGGTTGAAATGAGCCCAATCGGAGCTGGAGCGGACTTTTTTTCTGGATCCTGGAGAGAGGCTAGAAGAGAAAGAGGCCTAATGGGATAGGCAGGAATCCAGATAGCTGAAAAAGCTGCTAAACCAACCTTAGGTGCACCAGATCCCTAGAGAGAAAGGCAACACGTGCCGGGGATGAGGTCAGAATTCGCTGAGGGAGGTCTCCAAGGGGGCCCTGCTACCTGTCCAGTGGTCATAGGGGCAGTGGGGAGGTAGCCCTCAGTGTGACTGCGGGTAAGGGAGAGGGGAGCTGAGAGGGATTTCCAGACCCACAGACACTCAGACAAATGCAGCTTCCATAGGAAACGGTGAGAGATTGACCAAGGAAGAGGGACAGAGACTAACGGAAGCTAAGACCGAAAGCAGTCATGGTACAGGCAAACCCGGAGTCCTAGACCGTCGGAGCCCCAGAAATACGGCCACAGCAGAGAAATTTTAGGGAGGGATCACGAACAGGCGGCGCACTCCCTGGGTCTCCCCGCGAAGGCCTTGAAGGGAAGGGGAAGGAAAGGGGAGCAGACAGAATTTCTCACCTCTCGGAGGCGCGAGGATGCGAACGCCCGGTTTCCTCCTCGAGATCACTCACCCCCTTGGGCCGGAAGCCGCTTGGGCTCCGCAGGCCCTGCAAGGCTCCGCTGGTCTGGACGTCTCAGGCTCCCGCTCGCGTTCCAACGGCGTTTCGGCCCTGGTGGCTCCGGACGCTGCTTTGGGGAGATGATGGGCGGGGGCTGCCACCACTTCTACCAGCTCTGGCTGGAGCCCGCCTTGACTTCCAAGAACTGAGCGCCCTGAAGGCAGAGGTTCCCGGGAGCCGAGGACTTGCGGGAACTGTGGGAAGGGGAGGACCCGCCTCCAGCCACGCGAACCCAGCTCCCGCCGCGGCGGCGGTATGTTCCCGCCGGGCCCCTGCTTGAAGGCACTCCGCGGGTCCCCTCCCGCCCCGCCCCACCCAGAGAGCTCCGCCCCAAGCCCGCGGCTCTTCCGCCTTAGGCAGCGGCTTAGGAGAACCCCGACTTCCACCCCTGGGGGAGTAGGGACGGACGCCCGCCAAGGTGAGGGGTGGCTCAGCTCCTTCCGCCTGCGCGGTGGGTGTAGGTCCCGGTTCCGGCTCCCGGGGCAGCAGAGGGAGCGGCCAGTTGGGTGCGTCCTGCAGGATGAGACCGGCTGAGTTAGGCCACCAGGGGGCGCTGCGAAGCTGGGGGACACCCCTCCCTGTCCGCTTCAGTCCGCCCCCTCCCCGCCCGCGCGCAAAACACACTCGCCCCAGAGGCAGCGCGGCCGAGCCGGAGCCGCGGCCGGAGCGGAGCCCGAGATCGCGGCGGCGGTGGCGGCGGCACCATGACCCTGGGCAGCTGCTGCTGCGAGATCATGTCCTCCGAGAGCTCCCCGGCCGCACTGTCTGAGGCCGACGCAGACATAGACGTGGTGGGCGGCGGCAGCGGTGGGGGGGAGCTCCCAGCCCGCTCCGGGCCCCGCGCCCCCCGGGACGTGCTCCCTCACGGCCACGAGCCTCCTCCGGAGGAAGCCGAGGCAGACGTAGCAGAAGACGAGGAGGAGTCGGGTGGCAGCTCTGACGGCGAGCCTCGCGCTCTAGCGCCCCGGGGGGCGGCGGCCTCAGCGGGAAGCCCAGGGCCAGGCGCGGCCGCGGCCCGGGGCGCGGCGGGGCCGGGGCCCGGACCACCGTCGGGGGGCGCGGCGACGCGGAGCCCTTTGGTAAAGCCACCCTATTCATACATCGCGCTCATCACCATGGCCATCCTGCAGAGCCCCAAGAAGCGCCTGACGCTGAGCGAGATCTGCGAGTTCATCAGCGGCCGCTTCCCCTACTACCGGGAGAAGTTCCCCGCCTGGCAGAACAGCATCCGCCACAACCTCTCGCTCAACGACTGCTTCGTCAAGATCCCCCGCGAACCGGGCAACCCGGGCAAGGGCAACTATTGGACGCTTGACCCGGAGTCGGCCGACATGTTCGACAACGGCAGCTTCCTGCGGCGCCGCAAGCGCTTCAAGCGGCAGCCGTTACCGCCACCACATCCACACCCGCACCCTCACCCAGAGCTGCTGTTGCGTGGCGGGGCTGCAGCGGCCGGGGATCCCGGCGCCTTCCTGCCCGGCTTCGCCGCTTACGGCGCCTACGGCTATGGCTACGGGCTGGCACTCCCGGCCTATGGCGCACCCCCACCGGGGCCGGCCCCGCACCCGCATCCACACCCGCACGCCTTCGCTTTCGCTGCCGCTGCCGCAGCAGCGCCTTGCCAGCTGTCGGTTCCCCCAGGCCGCGCCGCTGCGCCTCCACCCGGACCTCCGACGGCCTCGGTGTTCGCTGGCGCAGCCTCGGCTCCGGCCCCTGCGCCTGCCCCAGGGTCGGGCCCGGGCCCCTCCGGCCTGCCCGCCTTCCTAGGCGCGGAGTTGAGCTGCGCCAAAGCTTTCTACCCCGCGTCCCTGAGCCCTCCCGCAGCTGGCACAGCGGCCGGTCTGTCCACCGCACTCCTGCGCCAGGGCCTTAAGACTGACGCGGGAGGTGGTGCGGGCGGCGGGGGCGCAGGCGCTGGGCAGAGGCCTTCCTTCTCTATAGACCACATCATGGGCCATGGTGGTGGCGGGGGAGCACCCCCAGGCAGCGGCGAGGGGTCCCCGGGATCGCCGTTCACGGCAGCTGCGGGACCTGGGAGTCAAGCCCAAGTCTTGGCCATGCTGACTGCCCCGGCCCTGGCTCCGGTGGCCGGTCACATCCGCCTCTCGCACCCTGGGGACGCGCTCCTGTCTACAGGGCCGCCGTTTGCCGGCAAAGTCGCCGGCCTCAGTGGCTGCCACTTCTGACCACAGCGGGCTCAGGGTCAGTTAGGCCCGCACTCAGCTTCTCCCGGGAGCTCCTGCAGTCCCAGCGGAACTCAGGGAGTCTATTTATGAAGAGTCTCCAACCTGGGCCGGCGCGCGTGACTTGGCACTTCAGGTTCCACGCTCAGAATCTCGCCGAGAGTTGGGACGAAGCGGGCTCCATCGCTCAGGGCGAGGCCTGGGTTTAAGCTAAGTGGTCCCAAGCCAAGATCCCATTCCTGTTTGAGCAGCAAACGAGGGAGTGGGGAACCTTCGGTTTTTCCCTGCCTGAGTCCGCTCCGCAACCCCGGAAGAATGCCTTCCCGGAGACGTGCCTGCCCAGGCCCTGCGGATCCCACCAGAAACACCAAGGGCGCTGAGAGGTCTCCCTTTCTTCCTTCCTCAACTTTGCGACCCTGCTTGTCCAATATTATAATTTAACAACATCTATTATCCGCTTGTGCTTAAAAGAAAAATTCAAAGTTTTTTTTTTTTCCTGTTCTCCAAGGAAGTTCGTTCCCTCTGAAGCCTAGCTCAGTATCTACACAGGCGAAGCTGAACCGAGAGGTGAAGCAGCGGATCTCCACAATCTTTGCAGAAACCCCAGATCCCACTCCATGAGGAAAATCCTTTCTCTTTCATGTTTGGGTGCTTTTCAAGGAACTTCTTCCCTTTCCCCTAGCCGGCTGGGGCCAGCCATCCAGGGCCAGCAACCCTCTCAGTCTCCAGCTCAGCCCCAGGCCCTGGGGTATTTATTGTAGTTAAAGGCAATGAGGTCGGGTGGGAGAGGAGGGTCTGGGTCAGGGACTGGAAAGGTGGGGGTGGGGTGGGCAAGGGCACCAAGCTGTGTCATGGGGTCCTGTAATTATGTGTAAATATCTGTACAGCAGGCTGCTCTCTGTTCTCTGTCCACTGGTGTGCATTGATTTAGAAACCTCTGCTTAGGGAAGACTCTGTGAAATTGTCTGATGGTTTGTGTGGAAGAAAAGAAAAATCTGTCTCTTTCCTCCCTTCCCACTGGTGTCAATTGAATAAATATATGCGAACTTCAGCAGTCACCAGCTCCGTCTGCTTGCCTGCACTCCCTTGTCCTTGTTGGGGGCTCACCTAGAAGACCCCAAGCTCCCCAGCAGAGGGGGAGTGAGGAAGGGTCAGGCAGGCAGAGGAGGGTTTGGGCTTATCAGATACTGGGGGCACTGTGACGTTTGCCTTCAGCTGCTAATGGGGCCAGGTCTCTGGGAAGCCAGTGACCCCTCCAGCACTTTCATTTTCACTCCGGTACTAGGAAGGTTTTCACCATGGAATTGGGCACATGGATTCTGTTTCAAATGCACCTGAGGAGTCTTACCTCCTTCTTGTTTAGTTTTAGCATGGCCTGGGTAGATCTGGGTGCTAAGTGCTCTTGAACACTGTATCCACTGAGTACAGGGCGAGTTAAGTCTCTTGATACACATTCTGTGTGCCTCCGTATAGATGTGTGCAGGGGCTTTTATGGAGCTTGGATTGTTTTGTGTTTGGGTTTGTGTGTGTATATTATTTTTTCAGAATATATGTATTTTTATTTCTACATTTGTCCGTGAACATTTGTCTCTGGGTGTGTGTTGACTCGGTTACACTCTCTGAGAGGAGAGAGGTTTCTCTTTGGCCATTGTAGGGCCTTTAGGAATTGGCCCCTCCTGACATAGGTAACAGAATGGGAGGTATGAAATTAGAGACTGAAACCTCACTCTCTTCCCACCTGAGAGGGCTGGAGGTGTACTGTGAGATAAAGGAGAGTTAATGGGGTCTGTCTGCTAGGGCAAAACTCCTGGTCCCTTGAACCACGCTCATAGCTGGAAGCTACTACCTGAGTGCAAATCCATTGGTCTGATTGGAGTCTCCCACAGCTTACCGAGCCCTCAGCTCTTTACATGTGTTTGGTACTACCTGTAGTCAGATTTGCAAATGCTTTGGGTGAGGTGATGCTTTGGAAGAAGCAGAGATAGTTGTTGCGCTTTTTTCTCTGTGTGTTCCACTGAGATCTTAGGAGAGAAGAACTATGGAAATACACGAAGAGACAGTTCAGCCTTCATAAAACACACACACACACACACACACACATACACACAATTTTGAGGGCAAGGGTTAGGAGACAAGTGACTGAAAAGGAAGAAACAGGGTCAGAGACCCAGATGCAGAGAACTTGAGGGTGTGGGCAGAGAGAAGTATGAAGGCTTCTTCAGCTAGGATCCCAGCAACTGGCAATAGTAGGAAGGAAGAAGATATTAGAGGGCAGAGGCTGCTATAGAATCAGAATAAGGTGTGAATCAGGATAGGGCTGGGGAGAATATCAGAGTTTGGGAAGGGTTGTTGGGATTCCTAAGTCTCTCATCCTCTTCACAAGGGAGGAGAGACAAGTCTGTAGGTATAGGTGATAAATGCAAGTTCCTCTGCCAGAGGTGAGACAGAACCCCTCTCTCCATCTTGCTGAGAGTCTAAGGGAGTAGTGGTGATGGTAGGGGGAGTTGAATACAGTGGGCCACCTTTCTACCATTTTATCAAATGATAAGGCAAAGTAAGCTTAGTTTCAATGGTAAAAACTGGGAAATGTCTGCTAATACTGGGATAATGGTCTCTGGCTGCTTTGTTGACTTCCACTGCTCTAAGTTTGTTTTCATTTCTTTTTACTTGAGGAAGGGTACATGTGACTGTATGTGTGTGCATGCATGCCCACCCAGTGTGTTTGCTCTCAGTAAAGCCCTTTGCAGCTATGTGATCTCATTGATCATGAAAAGGTCACGCCCAGATATTAATTTGGGGGGTTTTAAGTAAAAGACTTCTCAGTTGGTTTTTCCTTTCTAGAAAAGAGAAATTAAGTCAGGCAGAATTCATATCTGATGGTGGATAGATAGATGAAACACTTCCGTAAGTGCTGTTTACAGGAGAAGCAGCAGATTTTTGATGTGTCTTTGTCAAGTATGTGTGTGTGTGTGTGTGTGTGTGTGTACACTCCAGCATATGTGTGTAAGAGAGTGGGGGAGAGGTAGTCGGAGGGAATCTTTTTTTTTTTTTTTTTTTGAGGCTATTGCTTGATGTCTCTATGTGTAGAAGGTTCCTGTCAGGAAAAGGCAGAAATACAGGAATTGAAGGAGTGTGGTGCATGAGGGACTCCCAGACCCAGGACTCAGACCCTCCTTTTATAGAGGGTCAGAAAGGTCAGGCCTGGGCCAGATTACAATTATAGTTGAGGTTGGGGGCCAGAGAGAAACCACTAATGCCCAACTGGCCATGAAAACTACCCAGAAGAGAATTACTAAGAGAGCCCACAAGGTTCCACATGCTGAAGGCAGGGTGGAGGGAAGGTATTTGGAATTCTGGACCATTTTAGATTGTTTTGTGGTTAACATGTGAGTTGGGACCTGGAGTACAGGAAGGATGAATGAGTTACAGGATTTATATGGTAGAAACCTCTAGGCTTTCCGCTGCTTCCAGACTGTGGAGGGGGCTCAGTTGGTGACTCCCTTCTAATCTGTGGCTGCATAAGGTGGGTGTTGTCTCACTTAGGAGCTCAGCCTCCTGGGAGGAGAAACTGGCCATCCATTAGGGAACAGCTCCAGTGGGTTCCCTCCTTGCCTGGGTGGAGGCACGTGAGGTTCTGTCGTGTACAGGCCTCAGCAATTGGTGACAATAATAAGAAAATATCCAGGGCACACCTTCATCTCTCCGAGGTGAGAAAAAAAATGATAAGAAATCCGCCTAGGGTTCAGTGAGTGCTGCTGAGAGCGGGAAGTTTAAAGGGGAAGAAAATTGGCGAATTTCACTGGTCAATTTCACTTCATTTCGTTCAATTTCGTTCAATTTCATTCCTTTTCATCCGGCGCCGAGAGGCCCAAGGCCACAAGGAGAAGGAGGGGGAGGGGGTCTTTCCGGGCAGGATTTTCCCCATCTTGCAGACTTACTTACTATGGTTGTGAAGAACAACCTTGATTCTCCAACTTTGACATGCGTTTTTCAGCCACCGCTAAGGGCTGACATTCTATTTTATCGAAGAGTATTTGGCTTGGGTGATCGAGGCCCATCCGCAAGCCTCCCCGCACTTCTCTCTTGCAGCCCAATTAAAGCGGTTAATTCTTTTCACCGCCTATTCCTCCCCATCTTCCCCCCCCCTTTCTCCAGGGGCTCCCCAGACCACCCAGGAGCCGGAGTTGGGGCGGGTGGGGGGGGAGCGGACACTTCCCCTCCATATCCAATTTGTTCTCGCCACAGCGGGCGCGTCTTCGTGGTTACAAAGCGCTTTTCCCCTGATGACTTTTTTCCCCTTTTCAAAAACACTTCTATCTCCCCCCTTCAACTAGCAAACCTCCCCAGGCCCACCCCTCCTCCCTCTCCGCTCGGGTTTATTTAAACTTCGCCTCCTCCCGCGTCGCCTTAGCGCTCACTTAATGAAGTTGAAGGCTCGGTGCGCCCGGGTGAAGAGGGTTTGGAATCTGTTGAAAGGGGCGTTTTGTGACACTGATTGGGGCGGGGGCGGGGGCGGTGGCAGACCAGACAATGACCGACCGGGCGGGTTTTCCTGCGCGCAGAGTCAGGCGAATAAAGGCGCCGACACTGTTTAAACGAGGAACCTTGTAAGAGAAAGGGAGAAAAGATTCTGAGTGCGGAGTGTGCCTAGTATGGTTTGGAGCTTAGTGAGGGGTGGGAGGAGGCAGCTCGCCTGCGGTCTTTACGGACCGAATTCGGCGTTTACTTCGAACCCTGGGCTCCCGGTTGAAGAGAAGAGAGGCGAGTTTGGGTTTGCGCCTAAACTATTCCGATACGTGAAAGGTTGTGTAGCTGGGTCTAGGGTAGCCAACCAACATGATAAGACCCAGCGTACGTTTGTCCCTGGGGCTGGGGTTACGAGATTTCTAGAGACACGCTGAAAGAAAACTAAAGGTGGGCAGTGGCCGGACAGGAGAATTCAACCTCCCAAGTCTTTCGCCTGTCCGGGTATTTGAGAGTAAACGCTGGTTAGATTTGGGGGGTGGGGGTTGAGAATTATTCTGCTTTTTAAAGGTCGGCGTAGATACGTATTGTACCAACGGAGAGATACGTAGGGAGGACCGAGGGTCCCAGTTGTGGCTTTGAGAACAAAATATTTCGCGGGCTGGTGGGCGCGGCTGGTGCGGAGCCTAGTCGGCACCGCCTCCTTCCCTAGCAGAGCAAGCGCTGCAGTCCGAAGCTGCAGTCGCTCGGGGGACCTGGAGGCTTCGGTCTGCTGGGGAAGGAAGTCTGTTTCCTCCCTTGCGCCCCGCTTCTTGACTCAGCGCTGACATCCTCAGGGTTGTTTCCGACCCTGGCTGGGCCCCCTGTTTTGAGTTGGGGTCCCTGCAGATCGCTGTGTTTTCGCTGCAAGCGGACTCCCAGAGGAAATCTCTCGCAGTAGCGACTTTGCGTTTCTCAATGCAGCAAGGGTCTCCGCCAGGTATCTTCCTCCAGGCTCTTTAGTCTCCTCGCGGAAATTTCGTCGTCACAGAGGGGATGGAAAGGTTCCTAGTCTTCACCACCCCTCTACTTCCGCTCAGTGATTCCGAGACAGTCGACTCCCAAGGAGTGCGGTCAAAATTCGCTAGCGCGGGCGCCTCAGGAGGATGCGCTCAAGTCACCGCTACTGGAGTCCTGGGCAGTTCACCACTGGAAGCCGGCACCTTGGAGGTCTGTGCTCAGTTTTCCTAGAAGTCGGAAAAATGTCCAAGGCTGGTTTCACGTCTGGGGCATTTTCTCTTTCAGGCAGAAGTTTCTTTGGGATTAGGGCTCACG